CCTCCATCAGTATCTGAGTGGCTCATATCCAGCTCCGAGGGCCAAACAGAGTCCAGGAAGCCGGCCACCCCCACGGATTGTCACACTAACGTTCTAAGTCACATTAAGGTGTAGTAAGGAGCATTGTTTCTCTCTGTCCCAGTGGGGGGTGGTGAAGATGACCTGCAAGGCTCACTAACTCACATGACGCCGGCGAGAACCCAGGTTCCTCCCTGTCAATGTTAATGTCCTTTCCAAAAAGTCTCTATGAATCCCAATTAGTGGCTTGTGGCCCCAGGGGCCGGAGCACGAGAGCTTGCATTCGGATATGCTCTGGGGGAAGCGAGTCCCGGGGAGGGGGAGCGGAATCTTCTGGTGGACCCTTTCTCCAGTGACAGATGGGGGCGTATGGCTCAGCAGGTTAGGCGGCTGTGCCTGTAATCAGAAGGTTGCCAGTTCAAATCCCAGAGTCTGTCGAATGATTTCACCCTTGGGCCCCTGAACAAACCTCCTTACCCTCCCGATTGTTCTTTCGCAATTGTATGTTGCTTTGGGTAAATGTCTGATAAATATAATATGCAATTGGGGGGGGGGTCACTTTGGATAAATGTTTCCACTAAGCAGCTATATTTGAATATATGTAGAATGTGCCCCCACCCTTTGCTATTATTACTGCATCCTGTATTAATCAACCAGAGCGCTTAGGTGCCTATTTTTAAGGGGGGGGGGGGTATAAGTCCAGTAAGTCCAGTCGTGCAGGTTCAGGTGTCGGCTGTATGAACAGACGCCAAAGCTGGAATGTGACAGTCATGCTGCTTTTTGCCATGTCAGCTGCGGGGAACGCAGCCACCAATCCTGCCTAGTCATGGCCGATGGGGTGCTCTGCTGCCCCCTAGCTGCCCAATCACTCTAGGTGAGCAGCTGTTTGATCAGTGGAGTTCAACCCCCCCCCCACCCCCACCAGATGGCAGCCACATTCACTGCCCTTCCTTGGATGGGTTAAGAGTCTGGGCTGAGCCCCTCCAGTGGCCGTGGAGTGAGGCATGCTGGGACAGGCTCGGAGGGCTGTGAAGGGACCTGGCACGACGCATTTGGATTGTTGTGTAAAACATCTGACTAAAGACCACGAGTGTGTTGTAAATGAGAGTTCTGCTAAACACTGGGGTCAACAAAAGAGCCAAACACACACACACACACACACACACACACACACACACACACATAGGTTTGCAATGATGTCTTTATGGGGACTCTCCATTCATTTCTGTGGGGGAAACTCAAATCCTAACATGGTGACCCCTACTCAGCCCTAACCTAAACCATAAGTAACCAAACTAAATACGAGACTTTTGGCATTTTTAGTTTTTAGATTGCATTCACAGATCTTTAATATATTTCTATTTTTTGTTCCACGGTGGGTAGATTTGGCAGAATAGTTCAGTATGTCAAAGTAATTTTAAAAAATTGTTAGTTTAGCTTTCTACGCATTTGGAGGGACCAAATCGCATCTGATTCCCTGTGTACCTGTTATAATGGGACAGGCCACAATGACGGGGGCAGAGGGGGGGCTGGCCAAGCCGTCGCTATAATCAACAGCTAAGAGCTGTCGGTGTTCATCAGCCGGGCTGCGGACAGTTTCATCGGCGGAGTGCGGGGGCCTCGTCCCGCAGCTGGGAGCGGCTCCTCCATCCACATTCATACGTGTTTCTCTCCTTCCCGGCGGTGATGGACGCACTTGTGCACCGAATGTACAAGCAGGGTCCTGTTCACATTCAGCTCCTTCAGGGCTATAGAGCACAAAGTCTGGATGCAGTTAAGTTCCTGGCTCACTGCTGAGATATGAAAGATGCTACCTGCAAAACTGTCTATGCTAAAACAATTCAGGTTTAAATATGTTGCTTAAAGGTACAACTGCTAGGTGCCTGATTCTGATGAGGATGATGAAGATGGCCTTCCTTTGGGTAATGGAGGCATTATTTGAGTTTTGGGGTTTAAAAGCTGGCGGCAGAGGGACAAAGAAAACAGGCCCCCGTTTTGGGATTGGCAAAGGGGGGCAGAAGCCAGGAAAAACGAGGCTGTCACCTGCGGAGCATGGCCTGGAGGTGTGGCATGTGCGGGTCACGTGACTCCGCCCACCTTGGGACATCCGCGCTCTGTTCATTTTATTTCCCATCCTTGCACAAGTACCGGATAAATGCAGTTTTTAGCCACACAGTGGGGAATTCTGGGAAAGTGCTATGTCCGGATGGGGGGGGGGGGCGGGAGAGGGGGAGGGCGCAGGGGGAGGGGGCGGGGGGGGGAGGGGGGGGGGGGGGGGGGGGGGGGGGGGGGGGATTGGATGATGAGAGGGTGAGGTGGAAGGAAGCATGG